CCTACACATCGAATTCTCGGTCGCTTATAAATCCGAACCGGATGCGTAGCTCGATAAGAACAATAACGAAGTTTGATTTGACACCATCGTCAGAAAGTCAACCACCCGGAAATTTCCGGAAAATGGAACCTGCATGGGCGGTCAGATCTGGGAAGCTCGATCTTAGATCGTCGCAGCCTTGCCTCAGATCTTGGGCCTCTGGACCATATTTGGATTCCACCTTGTTCTAAATATTATGCGACGTCTTTCAAGTTCACAGTTGCCTCGCAGAAATTCAACGAAACGGGATGTACCGAAACTAGATCCGAATTTGGAAGCTGGATCTCAGGTGGTAATCGGTGGCCACACCTGGGATTCTTTCTTAAGTGTCCACCGCCAATCCACCGCTTGTTCTCGGTGATTAATTCTGCGGGAGCCCCATTTGTGCATTTTGTTGTTCCAGTTGAGACAGGTTGACATTTCAAACCGCCCGGACGGCGGATCTGGATCTCGGATGGTCCATCTGGTTTCATTCTACCGCAGTACCCGAGAGTTGAACAGACATCCCGATTCGGGTCGATGATTGAGGGGTTTAGCTTCTCAACAGCTTTTAGCGGTTGCTTCACCACATTTTGGCTGGGGGATATATCACCAACCTCTGATCAGAGGTCTGGCGTGATACATCCAGAGCTCTCGCCTAGAGATCCGTGGCATATATCACCTTAGAAACATTACATATGGGGATGTAGGTAGGCATACCGTCAGCAGAGGGTTGCCCACTGTTCTGCTCATCGTCTTCAACAGCGATCAGGGGTGTGCTCGTGTTTGGAAGGGAACCTTAAGGCGGGCTGACTATATCTGCTGACGAAGCTTCCCTTCCTAATTAGGAGTAGCTACAATAATGTACATTACTCAGTCTAAATAGGCGTCCATTAATGACCCATCATCGTCCTCGGAGTCCCCTTCGTCGTCCCCAGCGTCCGCGTCCGCGTCGTCTTCTTCGCCCCCATCATCCGCGTCCTCGTCATCTTGCCCGTAAGGCCCGCCTTCTCTGTCCTCGTCCTCGCTTTCGTCTTCCTCATCCTGATCCTCGTCCTCGTCCTCGTCCACGTCTTCACCCTGCTCTGCCCGTGCCGTCACTGCCTCCGCCTCCACTGCCGCCACGTCCGCCCGCCCTGCACTGATCATCGCAGGGACATTCACCCAGTCTCGCTGAAAGCGTTCGCCCACGGTTCGGAGGATGTGCGCCTGACGCGTAGCGTATGCGTCGTGACCTTCGCGTTGCCGTGCGTCGTTTTGTAGGTCCGGACGTTGCGTATCGCCGACATGTATCTTCTTCTCCAGCCACCACTCGGCCTTCCAGAACAAGTAGTCTGGCGTCCGACGCATCTCCTCCTCCAGCAAATCAACCTCCTCTGTATTCCGCAGCCCCAAGGCCCGTGTCTTTGCCCACTCGATGCGCAGCGCTACCGAATGCAACGCGTCAGCCATATGCAAGCCGCACAGACCAAGCTAACCTTCATTCATCGCCGGATTACGATCTGCGTGCGCAGCGGATCCATCCGCCAACCAGATCCAGGAGATTGGGTGACGTGCTTCGACACGTCGCTTCTTCTTTGCAGCCGCCGTCTCCTTGAGTTTCTTCCCCTTCCGCCTTCGAAACGCCGCCTCGGGCATCTGCCGCACGTCCGCATCCAGCAGCGGCTTGAGATTCACATCCCATCCACGCCTGTTCAGCCTCTTCCCCAACACCACCAACGCGGCCCACGCCACTCGATACGTCTCGGTTGCGCGGTCCATTTGTTGCTTGATGGCGGCGAGTTTGGCCTGCGCACGAGAGCCGTCCCGCACCCCATGACGGTCCTTCTGGTGCTTGAACTCGTTCGTCCGCAAGAGAAGCTCGTGGCGCAGGTCGAAAAGCGCCTCATGAGCCTGCCCCATCTGCAGATGAAACTCGTACTCTTGAAGCTCCGGCAGGCACGGAGTATGCGGCTCCAGTGCCGAGGGAAGAAGCAGCGGGATGTCCTGCACTAGTTCCCCAGCCACTGGTTTTGCACGACTCGCTTCGGCGCGCTCTGCCGCTGCAGCGGTCCTCAAGACCGCCACCTCGGGCATGAACTGTGTCTGCGTCTCCATCCACGACAAAATCTTCCGTCGGGCCTTGCTGCAGCGTTCGAGCATCACCCGCTTCTGATTGACTGTGGGATGCGCACCCGCTGACGCCTGGTCAGACCTCAGCTCTCGCCTAGAGATATCAATTAGGCCCGCCTCAACCTCATGAAGAGTATACTTACTGACCCTGCTCCAACTTTAATCCCATCGCCAGCATCTCCGAGCTATCCGTCTCTCCCCGAACCACACCACCACCCTCGAGGGCTATCTCGTACCGAACAGACGCCAGCGTAACCTTCTTGGTCTTGCGCTGGAAAGGATTCCTCCTCTTTGCGTCCTTCTCCCAGCGAAGGCTCATCTTCGTCCATTTTCACACCGTCTGCAGGGGCAGCGAGCCTTCCTGCTTCAGCGTGTCCACGCGCGTCTTCACCATCTCCGGGACGTAATGTGTCATCTTCTCCAGAAAAAATTTCCCTGTGGCAAGCCGTGTCAGAACTCCAATCCCTCTGCATACCAGCTTGCACTCACCCATGCCTAGGATTTTCTTCCAGTTCCAGTCGTTAAAGTGGTCGTCCAAAACCTCGCGGCACAGATGGGGTCCCATCTCACACGTACTCGTCGCCAGTGGGTTGATGTGCGACCATCCACGCTCCGGGGACTCGCCGTCCGTTTGCCCGACGTAACGGGTGTAGAGGAACGAGAAGTTGATGTTGCAGAGCTCGATGTGCGCCGGGAGGTGGAACTTGGGCACGAGGAACACCCACTTCCGTGCCCCGTTGAGCTCTTGTAGACGACGAGGATAGATCTGCATTCGGTCCCAGATGTTCTTGTGCCACTGGCACGCGATGTCGTATGAGACGAAGAACAATTGGAGCTCCGAATCCTCAAGACTCATGAAGAACATATAGTCCATATTGAGATATCTAATGCGGCCTGTGAGTGAGAGTCGTATCCTCGTGAAAGCATGAACTGACCGTTCGCCAGCTTGGAGATCGCCCACCCCCTTCGGCCGTTTCATATTGTGACGCGCACAGTCCACCGTCCCAATCCCCGATGACGCAGTACCGCGTGATTCCTTGTCGGGGGTATTCACAGCGTCGTGCGCAACACAGGTACTTTTCTGCCGCGCGCTCATTAGTTATTTAGGTACGCTTGAGAGGATTCCACTCACCGGCTGTTTCTGGTCCCAGTGTTGCTCCAGATGGCCCATGTACGCGTTCACCTCCCCAAAAAATGCCAGGCCGTTCCCAAGATCAGGATCGCTCTTTTCGCTCGACACGTCCTTGCGCTGCATCCGGAAATTCGCATCGAGAGCCAAAAACAGAGCGTAAAGAAATCTACAATGATTGTCAGTCCAGTTTCCCGGGTACCCACCCCTCCACTTACTTGCGGTCCTCGGAGACATTTTTCCAGTCGGGCGGCAGATTCTGCCCAGGGTGAGGACACGCTGGGCACTCCAATGCACAGGACCCAGGTTTCGAATTGGCGATGCCATCCGTGACGTGGCCGCACCCAGCGCGTTTGAGGAGCTCCAGATTGCGCCATTCTCGAGTCATATTGATGAACTCCTGATATCGGGACTGAGAGCTCGTTAGTCGTGACAAAAAGCGGATTGGAGAAGATGTTTACCGCGGGTGGCTCTCCCGTATTGTTCGTCTGATGGGCCAGGCTGTTGTAGAATTCACCCATAGAGCACTTCGACTCGAGCGACATGAGATGGTACCGTCGGAGGACGTTGAATGTCGCCGCCGTTTTCGGCCGCTTCCCCGTCGATGGCAGCCACTTCATGTGAAGCAGCTGAACCGTGAACGACTTGCCCCTCCCGCAATTGCAATACCACAACTCGACGTCGTGCAGACCCTCGCCATCGATAACCACAAATCTCTTGCCGGGGGCGCGTTTCGGATTGGCACATTTACGATCTGGATGTACTTCACGGCCGATTTCAAAACGCAACCCCAGCTTTTTTAGGGAAACGTCCTCGAAGTACCCCAGCTGCGAGTTCCACCGCTGCAGAAGTACCGTCAGCTATCGTCACCCCCTTTTTTTGAGAAAAAAGAGAACGCACCTGTACACGATGAAGGGGACACCGCTGATGCTCTCTGATCATACACTCGATGGAGAGCAGTTCGCAGCCGTGACAATCCCTGCATCGGACTTCGGCGACGGCCTTTTGGCAGTGAGGGTGTTCGCAGACACATTGTGGATGTGCTGCATGGTCACCGCGCCCTTCCCCCCGGAGCAACTCATCGAGCCACGCGTCACGGTACCGTTCCTTCCACTTCTTCACCGGGCGGTACTATTTATATGTAGTTAGTACGCTGGAGATAAAAATGAGCTTGAAAAAACGCACCGGCTCACGCTTGGCCTTGGCCTCTGGTTCAGAGTCACTGGAGGCAGACTCAGACTCGGGTGGGTCGTCCTCCTCATCTTCGTCTGGTAACAGCGGTGACCCCTCTGGGAAAGCCCAATCATTGTCCATGAAGTCGTAGATCCAGGTGGTTTGTTGCAGTTTGGCGCCGGAGCCAGCTATCCGTGGAGCGATAATTGAGGCCGGAACTGCCGCGCGGAGTATGGACGTTGACAGTATCGCGCGGCCGTCGGCAGTCTTACTGACCGACTCGTAGTGATATTCCTCCTCGCTGCTGCCGCTGTCGTCGGATGATGAGCTCGAGTCGGAGTCGGAGTCGTTATTGTACATTGTCGTGTCGGGGTGCTTCCGCTTCGGCGGCATAATGGCCCAGGGAGATTAAATAAATATATAGAATAAGATAAGAGAGTGTGTGGAATAGACGAGAGAGCGAGCCGAAGCACAGCATTGCAAGCTTGCACAAATGATCAACAAATGAGCGATGAGGCTAAAAAAAGAGAAACGCACATGTAGGGCTAGGGCGAGGCTTCACCGTAACGTCTCTGTGGCCTAGAGGTAAGGTCCACGGCGAACTCTGCATGAGACAGTTCTATGTGCTGTAGCGCGGGTTCGACTCCCGCCGGAGACATGACTTCGTCTGGCTGCCTTTTTATTTTTTCATTCAAATTGCGTGTCCTTTTTGGCGGAAAAAAAAAACCTTCAATGCCACCCTCCATGCTCGTACCCCGAATCGAACGGGGATTTCCAGTCGTACTTTCTCATGGTTCAACTTGAATTTCTACTGGCGCCATTACCATTAGGCCATACGAGCATGAACTGTCTTCGTTAGTCGTAGCTAATACATAGAACAAAAGTGCAACTAATCGCGCATACGAACAGTACAGAATATAATGAGTTAGTCCTCCTGTGCAAGCCGGCAAGGAAATTCGGAACAGACGCGGAAGGGCCCGCCGCAGTGAGAGCAGCAAGCTTCGTCATCGCCCAATGTGTCCGGACGAGTGTTGATATTGTCAGCAACGGAGCGGCAGTCGCATCCCCATTCGTCTTCCCCGCATGCGGAGCACACGTCGGCATCGCGAGCTCTGGCACGCGCCCATACAATTTCCTCGCGGCGGACGAGTTCGCATGCTTCGGGCGAACGTTCGGCCAAGTAGAGCTCCGCCATTGCATCCTCGCGCGCTTGAGCGCGAGATTCTAGGAAGGCAACAACTCGCTCGCGAACTTCTTGTGGCTGTCGCTCGCGGCAGTGAGCGTGGGACACCAGACAGGTGTTGTTGAATGCGGAGACAGCCGATTCAAGCCCCCGTGCCTCGATAGCCATGACACCGCCCGAGACCTTGCGTTTTTTCCAACCCTAGCGAGAAATGTGAGTAATGTAAATAAGAGAGGCGCAGCCTCACTTGTCTGTATTTCTGCCCAAACGGAACGCGGCGTCTCTCCAGGCGCTGGCTGGATGTCAGAAGTGGCAATCAAACCGAGGGGTCACAAAGACGCACTCGACAGTGTATACACCGTCCCATGCTGCATCCGTTGTTCCGCTTATGGCCCAGACGCGCCCTCTCCCACCATCCTCGTATTTTTCTTTCTCGTAGCTTGCGGGGGCAAAAAGGTGAACTGGGCAGCATTCGTAACCGATGTCGGGTTGGATGAAGGGAGTCAAAGTTCGGTGCAGCCGAGGCGACGTAGGGTCAGCGGGGGTGGAGTGGCAGTCGCATATGGAGTCGTTTTGACCGCACGCCGAACATACGCGGGGTGCGCGAGCTTCTTCGCGCAAAAGTCGCTGCCGGCGGGAGGCTTCGCGCGCTTCTAGAGAGCGACTGGCCAAGTAGACTTCGAGGCGCACGTCGTCGCGAGCTTGGGTGCGGCCTCCAGATAGGCTTCGACACGCTCACGGACATCTTCCGGCTGATCCTGTCGGCAACGGGTGTGCGCTACGAGGCAGTGATCGTTCAGCCTGCAAGCTGCGCCTTCAATGTCGCGCTCCACGCCGACAAACGCCCCCAACTGTTGAGGGTGCTCCTTCCAAGCTCTACATATCTATGTCAGCACAGCAGCCAACCCAAAAAAAGAAGAAGAAAAAACGCACTCGACAGTGTAAATGCCATCAACTCCAAGCTCTTCGGATCCCTGGACGGCCCAAACACGCTTTTCCCCCCCCTCCTGCCCGTGGTTGGTTTTGTCGTAGTCTGCGGGAGCGTAGATTTTGACTGGGCAGTGTACGTACCCGGTGTCGGGATGGATTAGTGGAGTTAGGGCTCGATGAAAGCGAGCCGGTGGTGGACTCGACATGATAGGCGAAGGAAAGCAAGTAGCGTATGTAGACGAGAAAAGACATGATGTTTCAATGCAGAGATGTTGAGCTGCGGGCAAAGTCGGAATACAATGTGCTGGAACTGCACGTAACTGCGCAAAGTGATGTCGAGATGTCAAATTGCGGAGAAGTGAGAAATCAGTGATGTTGTCCAACTGCGCGGAAGGGAGACATTGAATCGATGCAGGCGAGAAGGAATCGCAGACGGTAAAAGTGAGAAGACGAGGCTCCCAGAGTAGGTCGAGTTGAAAGCTAGAAGGAAGTGTTTGGATTGTTTTGATTGTTTTGATCGCAGATCAAAAACATCAGGTTCTGGCTGGCCAGTGCCCCTGGCAGGATTCGAACAGATTCGAACCCGCGTTGCCTTGGTAGAATGCAGCGAAAGAATAGGAATGAAAGATGAACTGTACCTTTTTATACGTGGTTGCGGAAGTGAGGGCCCTGTCCCCATTCAGTAGATCCTATCTTCGGATCTTATCTAATCTCGCGCATTGAACCTTCAAAAGTTTCTTATACGAGTGTTACATAGTACGGACACTACTGCTATGTAACACAATCAAGTGTTAGCTGTGGTCTTCGAATATGAAATCGTGCAGGGTGTATCCCAGGGACGAACACCGCTGCAATCACGGGCGAGCACGGTTGCACTACCCGTATCAGGTTCAGTGGCAGTCTTTGCGTGCCGATTTCGACTCACCAATACGCGGCCCATTCCGCCTGGTCGCGGTCGATAGCCTCCAATTCCGATTCCCCGTCCCTCACGCTCGTTCCCCACTCGCCGTGCTGGGCCCAGTACGCAAAAGCGGCGTCTTGCCGTTTCCTGACGGCGGCATCGTTCTTGGCACGGCTGTTCGATCCGTCTGCATCAGTCATATATCGATGGACGATGATGCGCTCCTCGTGCTCACCTGATGCCATCCCAGGCGGCTTGACGGTTCCCGCCTCTAGGGATTTTCTGGTTGCGATGGTGTTGCACTGTATCTTTGTGTTAGCTCGTGACACGAATTGAGGGATGGTGGCCAAATGGTGGCGCACAATTATTCTGCCTCTGAACCATTTTTTTCCAACGCGCTACACAAAACATCCGCGAGTCTATAGCGAGGATGGAATTAACAATGAGCGATGACAAGGGGAGGAAAATCTCACGAGGGTTCGATGTGGCCTTCGAGCGTTGAGCCATGGGTGAAAGAGAGAAGGAAGGACGGATCTTAGTTTCACATGTGTGAAACAAATTGACATTGTTTGGCATCGTAAACGTAGCGACCTATGAGTAATACGATAAACTAAAAGGGTGGAGGCTGGCCGAGGTACCAGACCTGCGCCTCCTCCAGCGACCGTACCATCTTCAGATTGGTACGGGGACGTTTTGTTCGAGCCAGCTCTGCGTCGGCCCTGAAGGAAAGAGCAACGGATTTGAAAAAAATCAGTTGGCAATTAAACGACATACGCTGTGTCAAAAATCTCGCCATGGGACGAGACGAACAAAATTTCCGGCTTTGAGACGACGCTGCGCTTGCGTTTGTTGGGCGTGGGCGTGGTGGGCTTTGACTCACCCACGTCCGTCGGAGCGGGTGTAATCGCCTTGGATGCCGACGCCACTGGAGCGGGCCTGGCTGCTCGAATCGTCCGTCGGTTTGCCGGTGGATCGGGATCCGCCTTGACCCACGCAACGTATGGGTGGTTCTGCGGCGCCTTCGGAATTTGATGGTGGTCGCCCGCGGGATGTTTATGTAGCCGCAAGCAGCCGTCGTACAATGCGTGAGAGAGCTCCTGCGACGTGTTGAAAGTCGAATATATGGCGCCCGGGAGTGCGCATCCGCCATAACGAGCACCGGCACTGCGTCCATTTCGTTACCTGCATCCCCAAGACCTGAAAAAAGAACGACTTACACGTCGGTATAGACCTTCAACATGCCTGCCTCCGTCTCCACCACATGCCAGACCCGAGAGCGATGATTGTTGTGCTCGTCGGGACCTACAAAGTTCGCGGCGGGGAAGAACGGCGTGGCACAAGTTAGATAGCCCTCGTTTTCCAGTTCTGGAGGGCAGGTTCCTATAACGTAGCCCTGTTGAGCGAAGGGCATGCTGGCGCGGACGGACCCAGTGAGGAGGGAAAAGAATGGCAATGGTGACAATGAAGATGAGAAAACAGATAAGTAACCAAGTGGATGCCGGCAGTGTCAGCAGTGCCCACTGCCGACACACCGGTTCCTTAGGGTTCCTTTCCCAGATCGAAGCTGGAGCACAGCTGTGATCGGCGTCTTCTTTTGGAAGACGCGTTTAAAATAGGTGTTGCCTTTCAATTGCCTGGTGATGGGTACGTAAAAATACATACGCGCAGTCCATCTCTCTCTCTGTCGTCCACCCATGCCTCTGTGTCGTCCTCGTCATCCTCACTTCTAAATCGGTAGGTCCCATCTGTAACCATAAGACCAGACCAACATGGAACTCCACAGTCCTATGGAGGCGCGCCAGGCGTATTTCAACAGGCATGGTCAGTGGTCTCCCAGCGAGGCCGCTGACCACAGCTTCATCCCATACCACAAACGCAGTTCTTCTCTCTCCATCGATGCAACCGGATACAGGCACTCAGTTCCGCCGCCTTTCCAACCAAGCCACAGCCAACTCCATCCACCGACTCAACCCTCGCGAACTCAACCCTCGCGACCTCGCCCTTTTGCTAAAATATTACCTGTCAACGAATTCTGTGCTCAGAACGGAACACCGATTACCCCACCCTGTCCCATCATCACCCGGGCCAGACAATTTTTTCTTAGTGGACTGGGGCCTTATTTCTCACAACGAGTAAGTTCCCAATACCTCTCATGCCGAGCTTCGTTTCTTAGAAGAAAAAAAAGACAGCGACTTCTGGACACGTGTCGCAACACACCACTCTTCAGAGCGAGCACCCTCGAGAAGATTCTCCAATATCTACCGTTTTGTTTGAGATTTACTGCCTGCTTCGCTCATCCGAAGTCGAAGCATTTTGTGTTGTGTGAGCCGTTATATTTTGTGATTGAAGGCTGCGAGGAGATTTTTTCTATGTAAGTTTTTCTAGTCTACTCTCACTTATTCTTTCACTTGAACTCTAACGCAGCGATCGCCTGAAGGAGAAATTTGAGGAGCTCGGCGATCACGACACGGGTATATTTGTTACTGCCGATATCACGACTGCATGTGCACGAGCGGCCGAGATATGGGAGGAAATGCGTTCGGAACCGCCATCCTCCCGGTCCTCTTCAACCCCTGAATGACTACCATATTCTTTACTCTACTTACTGCTATGATGTCGTTGCTGTGTTGTCGTTTTCAAATATGCTCATTTACTACTGGTTTCCAATACCATGCAAATAATGTAGATTCGCGTGTAGAAAATTACATTCGACTCGAGAGACGAGAGCTAATCCGTACCCAACGTCGCGTCCATGTCCGACTCGTCCGACTCATCGGAGCTGATCCATCCCTGGGAGATTGGCGCTCCCGATGCCCCCGACTCTTCT